CTCTAGTGTAATTTCATTTGGTATCAGAGCTTGGTGCTCTTTGATTTGAGGTTTAACCGCCTAGAGTCAATGATCCTCGGTTTGTTATATTGCTAATCTAGTTTTGAGATTTATTACATCTTGCTTACATTTATATATCATGGATGTGCATGGTGTACCTAGTTTAGGTTATGCCATTAATGTTGCTCCTAGATTAGATAGTTTCCCCTATGCCCAATGGTGTGTTAGATCTAAACACTTCGATTTATGGGAAATTATCGATTGTGCTTATATTGTGCCTACTTTGGAGAAATCCAAGTGGAGCAAACATGATAAGAAAATATTTATAATGAATAAGTTCTTGTTAGAATTTTTGCTTAATGCTTTTGACTCATCCATATATAACAAGCTTGCTTCTCTTGATAGTGCTTACACATTGTGGAAGTTTATAGAAGCACATCAAGAAAACTTGGAGGAGATTCGACGCGCTTTGACAGAACCAACTTTAAGTAAGGAGGGAGCATCATCATCATGAACTCGGCCGCTAGGCGATAGCCCTAACGAGGTATGTGATTCGAATTCCGAAAATAAATTATCTATTAGCAAACTCGCATGTGCATATGATAGGCTAATGCATACCTACACAAAGTTGCATAAAAATTTTATTGTCTTAAAAGCAAGCATGTAGAGTTAAAATCCGATCATGAATTGCTAGCATCTAAGTTTGATTTAATTTCCAAAGAGAATGTGATCCTAAAAGAAACAATAAAAAATTGAAATTAGATCATAATTCTTTAATCTCAAATATTGCTAGTATAACTCATGAGAAAAATAATGCCATAAAAGAAGTAGAAACAATTAAAAATAAATTTGATTTATTTAAAAAGGATCATACATGTTCTACTTCTAATAACAATGCATTTGTACAAATAAATGAGTTGAATCATGTTAAGAATCACATATCATCTTTAGATTCAACATTGAAAACATGCATTGCAAATAATAAAAAGCTTGTGGACTTGTATGCAAAGTCCCGTATAAATTATTCCAAGAAACCAATACACTATACACACATGTATATCAAAATTTAAAAATGCTCTATTTGGGCCGTAAAGGTCATCTTGCTAAATTTTGTTATAATGCACAAAAATTCATAAAGTCTAACAATGTTACTACTTGTGCATCCCATCAAGCTTCATCACATCATACACATGCTCATGCACACAAAGCTCATCATAAGCATGCTAATGTGTACAAATATGATTATTGTGGTAGACTTAGTCATTTGACCAAATTTTATTTTGATTTAAAAAGAGTTTCTCGTTTGCAAAATGCTTTCAAAGAACCATCTAAATTTACAAATGATTCTCGTGCACTAACACAAGGTCAGCACAAACTATTTCACCCTTTTTATTACATATATTGCAACCAGAAGGGTCATTTGCACACTTATTTTTTTGACCGTGTCCGTGCACAAAATGCGCCCAAATGGAATCATAACCCTAGGGCATTGAGCTTTATTGATAAGGGTCATGTCCCTAAAGCTTCCAGCACCAAAAATATTTGGGTGCCAAAAACTGTTTGATTTCAAAACAAGTTTCTAGCGTTTTCCGTTTTTGTTTCTTCTTTTAAAAAACGTATTTGCAAAACTTATTTTCGACAATATATTGATCTAAATTTTACTTAAATGAAAACAAAACTTATTTTTGGAATGACAATCTTATTGATTGATTTTGTTTTCATTACGTACTACATTTTTTATTGACTTTGATGAAAAACTAGATTTTTTTTGGTTTCTCATTATATGTTATGATTTTTATTGGTTTCGACTTCAAGGGCGTTTTTTATGACGAAACATTTGCACTAGTTGCAAGGATAGAGTCAACTCTTATATTTTTAGCATTTGATAGATTTAAAGATTCAAATTATCTCAAATGCATATTAAGAAATTCCTTTTTAAATGATCTAATTATAAATGAACTTATGAGCAAATCCCCGGATTTATTGGGTATTTATTTTCAAATCATGTTTACTGGGTGCTAAAAGTTTATATGAGTTGAAACAAGCTCAAAGAGCTTAATATGATTGTCTCTCTTGCTTTCTTGTCGAATATAACAAAAATTAATATTGGTTTGTTTTATCATAGACATAATTCTTTTTTATCTTTGTGGATAAAACATATAAATTTTTGATATTACTATTTGGGCTAAAATACCAAATTGGTATATTTATACGAACGCTTTTGCCAGTTTGGTACTTTTAAAAACTCCAGCGACAATAAGGCATTAATTCTCATCCTTTTTGTCAATAAGACACTTTTCTCAAAACTCCGACGAGACATTTTGTTTTAAACCCCTTACCTTCCAAAATTATTACAAGTTAAACCCACAATTATCAAAAAAATCCATCCCCTCCCTCTCCCCCAAATTCATCCCCTCCCTCTCCCCCTCCTCTTCCTCATCGTCGTCGTTGTAGGCATCTAAAAATGCCTATAGGTGTCCACACGCAGCTTGAGGTGAAGAGAAGATGATGAACGTCATCATCCGAGTCAAGAATGATTATCCGATTGGCCGCTGCGCACATCAATCAGCTCGCACACGTCAGTCAATGCGCGCACGTCAGTCAACGCGCGCTCGTCAGTCAGCTCACGCACGTCAATCAGCCGCGTGCGTCGGTCAACTCAAAGTGACCGAACGTACTTGTCAGGTGGCTCCAAGTGCCTGACGGGTTTGTCAGGCAGCTCTAAGTGCCCGCCGCCCTTGTCAGGCAGCTCCAAGTGCCTGACATGCTTGTCAGGCAGCTCCAAGTGCTTGGAGGGCTTGCCAGGCAGCTCCAAGTGCCCGCCGCCCTTGTCAGTCAGCTCCAAGTTCCTGACATGCTTGTCAGTCAGCTCCAAGTGCCCGCCGCCCTTATCAAGCAGCTCCAAGTACCCCTCACGTTTGTTAGTCAGATTCAAAGTGGCCGATGCACTTGTCAGTCAGATCCAAAGTGCCCGACGCGCATGTCGGTCGGTTTCAAGTGCTGTAAAGAAGCTAACGAGCGCATGAAGCAAGTTAGCAAATCGTACAAGTCAACAAGATGATCAAATACACAAAACGACATAAAATACAAGTTCTAGAAAGTCGGGAAAACAACAAGAAGTTTAGCAAAAGCCCAAACTCCCGTGCCAACGCGGGTCAGCCCGCGCCGACCCGCGTCCCCTGCGGGTCAGCAACGCCCGTCACGCAGATCCGAGCCCCAAACGTGTTTTTGATGGTTTTGAACGGTTTTCTCGGGATTTATCTGTTCCAAGGGTTCCCAACTAACTTGATATCATCCACAAATATGGTTAGACCGTTATTGACCGAAGATATGACCAAATCCATCATTCTTATCCGAAAACCCCCAACCGAAGCCTATAAATACAGGCTTAGGGGTTCATTTCACGAGGAGGAGATTAAGAGGGCGAAATGCTACCGAATTAGAGAGTGGAGCCACGAATTTACAGCGAGGGTTAGCAGATCTTAGCGAGTTCCTGTGCATAAAGAGTGGAGGGAGTAAGCGTTGCCAGCTCACAAATAGCCTCGCCAGAATTGCTCTCTAGATTTCTGAACAAATAACACACAAACTGCCTCTGGCTCACATGTGACTTAGTCCTCTTCGCTAAAGGCTCAGACTACGCCAAAGCAATATGGTAGTGACATGTTAGCAGATCTTAGCGAGTTCCTGTGCATAAAGAGTGGAGTTCGAGAGATCTGAGACCCGTACCATATTCCTTCGGGTTTAAGCTTAGTCTTAATCTCGAGAAGAGCCGTAATCTCGCTTGGTCAAGATTATCGTTGCAGCGAATACTTTCTTTGTGAAGTAGGAGCTTTGATTCCATAATCTGTCAATCAGATCTGATCCGCGGCGGTCCACGGATATCAACGTCCCTGGCACATGCAAAGATCCCATGCAAGCAGCGGGTGATAAACGTCTGTTGCGCTGTTTGACAAGAGTTATACTTTTTATATTTTTATTGTATAAGGAGATCTTATAAAAAGATCGACATTTTCTTATTTATTTGAGTTTATTGTATCGACCAAAGTTGTAATAGATTCGATGGTAATGAAAACATCAACTTTTGACCCAAACAGTCGTCAACGTCTTCTTGCCGGTTCTTGCCGATGGTCAGATCGGATGAGGTTTTCGCAGGATTTTCACATGGATTATATTATGGTTGTGGAGAGTTCGAGGATTGGGATGACGTATCATGCTGTTCTTCGTGATGGGTCGGCGTTGACAGTGAAGAGGCTTTATGGTTGTTTGTTGTCGGAGAAGCAGTTTAGGGCTGAGATGGGGAGAATAGGGCAGATTAGGCATCCGAATTTGGTTCTTTTGCTTGGTTATTGTGTTGTTGAAGAAGAGAAACTTTTGATTTACAAGCATATGGCGAATGGAGCTCTTTCGTTGATGATTAGGGATTGGGGTTAGGGTTTGGACTGGCCGATGAGGTTGAGGATTGGGGTTGGGGGTTCGTGAGGACTGGCTTGGCTTCTCCATGGGTTTCAAGTTCCTTTCTTGCATCAAAATGTTAGCTCGAGTTGTGCTTCTTGATGAAGAGTATGAGCCTAGAGTCACTAATTTTGGTCTGGCCAGGCTAATGAGGCCTTTGACCTCCGACGAGGGTTTGAACACAACTCCATTCTTGAATGGGGATTTTGGGGAGTTTGGGGAGTTTGCACCAGAGTATGCAACCAATCCGGTGTCAAGCACAAAAGGGGATGTTTATGGATTTGGGGTTGTTTTACTTGAGCTTGTAACTGGACAGAAGGCTACTGAGGGGAGTCATTATGGGTCGGCGTATCAACTCGTTGTTGCTGGTAAAATTCGTGAAGCTATCGATAAACCGTTGAGAGGGAACAGACATGATGATCAAATTGTAGAGTTCTTGAAGGTTGCTTGTGGATGTGAGGGGAGGAGAGGGGAATGGGAGAGGAGGGGGAGGAGGAGGACATTGATGACGACGATGAGGAAGAGGAGGGGGAGAGGGAGGGGATGAATTTAGGGGAGAGGGAGGGGATTAATTTAGGGGAGAGGGAGGGGATGAATTTGTTTTGATAGTTGTGGGCACAAATTTAATAATTTTGGGAGGTAAGGGGTTTAAAATAAAATTTCTCGTCGGAGTTTTGAGAAAAGGGTCTTATTGACAAAAAGTACGAGAATTAATGTCTTGTCGTTGTCGGAGTTTTTAAAATACCAAACTGGCAAAAGCGTTCGTATAAATATACTAATTCGGTATTTTAGCCTTACTATTTGCTTGATCACTTGTTCATCAAAAATGATGATTTGTAGATCAGACATGTTTTAACGTTATTAAGGTTTATATCATGATTCATAGTTTCTTTTGATCATGATTTGTAATTACATATGTGATTTTATTTGATTGATTTATGATTTCATTTGATTGATTTGATTTTTATTTGGACTTTCATGATTGTCATGATTTTCATGGTGCTCATGATTTGTTTTTATTTGAAAATATCTTTCATGATTCTCATTTTTTTCCCATTCATTTAATTTCATAAATCTATACATATTGTTTTTATTGAGACATAATTTTCATGATAATATATCTATGTATGTGCTCAATCAATCATGATTTATATTTAATGATTTGTGAACTTTGGATATATTGATCAAGCATTTGAATTTTTTAATTTTTGAATGTTTGATTTTCATATTTGGAATAATTTTTATTTATATGTATGTATATATATATATATATATATGTGCTCAATCAATCATGATTTATATTTAATGATTTGTGAACTTTGGATATATTGATCAAGCATTTGAATTTTTTAATTTTTGAATGTTTGATTTTCATATTTGGAATAATTTTTATTTATATGTATGTATATATATATATATATAATACTCTTTGTGTAGATTGCATGTCATCATAAAAAAATGTGAGATTGTTAGATCTCATGTTTATGAGCCTACTATCTAATCCAGTTTTGATAATTAACAAATAATTCCTAACAATGTTTGTCGAGCGTTTATTTACTTGTTAGGTATTCTACACAAAGATCCTCAGTTGGAGGTTGGATGGACTTGCGCTTGACGATGACATTCAAAGGAGTCTGGCATATATCGGAATGAAGCAATGATGAATTCAAAGTCAAATACAAGATCAAGCTTCAGCCGCAACCAAGATGAGCTACATTGAAGACCTATATCTTGGGTATTTAGTTTTGTAGTTTTATGTTTGTATTTTGTGTATCAATACTTTTAAGCTCAATTATATACACATACACATTTCTTATTTTCACCACAATTTGGGTATTTTTAAGTAAATTTTGTATTATTGATTTATGGACAAAATAATCTTTGTATACATCTTATATATAGTCCATAAATCAATTCAAAATGTTTTTATAACTTAGTTTAAGTCATATGTCAAAATTTCATACAAACACATATTTTTGAGTTTTTACAAAATGATGAGTTTTCATAAATGAGAAATGTAATTTGAAAATTTTCTTTTGAAACATGTTCATTTTCATGTTTATAAATATTTCTCCAAGTTTTATAATTTTTGAAATTTATTTGATATTTTTAATGATGTTTCAAACTCAAAAAACTGCATTTCAAAAATCTGGAAATCCATATATCTGTTTTTGGTCAACCGCACAAGGTTCGCCGGTTGACCAACCAGAGCACATGTTTCAGCTGATTTTTCTCAAGGTGTTTCAGTCGACCGACAACTTGGGTTCGGTCGACCGATGCACATTCGGTCGACCGACCAGTGTCATTCGGTCGACCAAACAGGTAGCCGTTGGCATAACAGCTAGTTTTTCAGATTTTATTGTTTCGTGATATTTTCTTAGTTTTTGAGCCTTTGTTTCTTGATCCTATATATACCCCCATTATACCCTTTAACTTCTGAACTATTGAAGAAAAAATTTAAAACAAGTTTACAAGGGTTAAGTTTGTTTAATTGTGTTTTCCAAGTGTTTATGTGAAGAGGTTTTCACAAGAGGAAAAGGAGATCATTCTTTTCGTGTTTGGTCTTCAATTTCATTCTCTCTCACTCTTGTTTTTAGAGAAATTTTCTCTAAACTCAATTTCTAGCTTTATATATTTATATGTTGATTAACCATTTCATTAAGCTAGAATTCATATTGAGTTTAGTTTTGATTAATGTTTATTATTGTTTACACACACCCACACCCACTTGAGCTTAAGTATTTCATACATAGTATGTTGGAGTTGTGAGGTTGTAACATTGAGAGTGAGCTTCATTGAGTTCTCATCCATTGTAGAGAACAAAACTTGTATTTGAGCCTTAATTGTGAGATCACATTATAATACACAAGGAAACCGAGAGGAGTGTGTGGTGAGAGACGTGGTCGATTCCACAAGGAGTGGCGTTGATAGTAAAGCCTAGGGAGAGGTACTCCCCCTTTTTCAAAAAGCTAGATTATGCGAGCTATTTAGGCCATCAACATGAGCATTCAATTTCTCTCTTAATTTCTTCCGGTTTTTGAATCCTTCGGCAGTAAATACATCTCCACCTGATTGTTCATTTTGGCCTTTAAAAAGATAACAATTAAAGCAAAATATTGTATTTTTTTTCAACACTATACTCCAACCAATTCGGATACATATCAAACCATGCAGGATTGAATCGCCGATATTTATTATTATAAATTTTGTATGAGGAAATTCCTGCAAATGAGGTTGGAGAGGACCTTTCTGCAAATATGCCCTTCCAATGTGTTCTTGCTCATTAGGATTATGCAAGGCCGTAGTTTGGTGGAGGTTGAAAGGCATTTTCTTCCATGCTCGAATTTTGATTAGGTTTTGTTTTTCTTATCAAAAATTTTTCCATACCTATAATAAGTTTAAGAGTTATTAGAGAAAAAGATAATGACATTCACTAACTCAATAACAATATTAAAAAATAATAATAAATTTAACGTACGACTAGCCGATTGCTTATGCAACTGCCGACTAAAAGCAATATAAAGGAAAATATTGATGCCTTTTTTTTAATTTGCAATTCAATTTCTATCGTATTCCAATATAATAACAAAAGAGTGTTGATCCTTCAACAAGTTTTGGTCTTATAAACACTAACATATTACACACAATGTACAAGATTCATGGAGGTAATTCTTTTACACATATCAAGATTGATATTTTAGTGCATTTATAAAATGAATAAATAATCAAAAGCATTAAACTTCCACACAAGTTGAAAACTAAGATAATTTTCAACCCAAATCCTTTAAAAAAAACTTAAAAAAAGAAAGAGAAAATTTTAGATTCGACCGAATTAACTCGCCTAAGATCAAAATTCTGAATCTCCAAAGTCCAAATTAACTATCTCGTCTAAGATGGAAATTCCTTGTTTCTGATCAGAAGAGAAATCTAGGGTTCATAAAAAGGAATTCAAATTGTAGAAGATGATAAAATAGTACCCCCGGTGCGATTAGACCCGTGTTGCTATAGTAAATAGACCCTCCCAAATATGTGGGCCTTATACCTCCATTTTAGTGGCATTGCGCCCAAATTTTTTTAGTGGGCTGTTGCACTTAGGTCCAATTACGCTAAAACAAATATAAAACAAATATGTGGGCCTTATACCTCGCCGCCTGTCTCCGCCTCCGAAGACAGACGACGAAGAGATAACTATATTTTTAGACTTCAGTAGGGGGACAAAGTGCTAATAAAAAATTTAGGGGATAATGAGTATCTAACCCACTAAGTCATGCAGATAACTAGTGGGCAAGCAGAATACTTATCACTTTCCTATTTACTTTTAAACAACACATCCAACATTAGGTCATTATTATTATTATTATTATTTTGATGCAATATATCCAACATTAATTAATGATCATAACTGTACATTATATACATATAAATTGTTGAGACATAATTCCTCCATTTTAATTGTATCATTGAAATGCCACCGGTTCATAGATTTTTTTTAACACGCCCTTAACGCATACGGGAATCGAACCCAGACCCTCACGAGGGATTGACACGGCTTTGCCACGTGACCTACTAGGCCGCCCGAACATTTTTTTAATTTATGTTTTATTTTTTTTTTCAAGTTAGCAACTTAAGGGAGTAAGATAAGTTATAATTTGGGAGCAAGCGGATTAGATATATCTAACTTATTTATATTCATATCCAAAATATCACTCATCACAAATACAAATATTAATATGGACATCAATGATAAGAAAAATGCACGCTACATATCTGTTGGATTTTTTAGGTCAAAACCGTTTTTTTTTAAATGACTTTTCAAACTATATATATTTAACTACAAGTACTTTCATAAATGCTTAGTAGTCTAGTGCACCTGGTCAGTTATTTCACGTTCGTTTCAACAGTTATGGACCTCTATCCCTATAAATATCTTCCTATACACGGGAGCCAAGCACGGAGAGCAGAATTAGAGCAGAGAGACCTAAGCTTTTAGTGAATTTGAGCAAGAGAGATAGTCTTCATTCCTGACAAACGCTTTTAAAGCTTTCAGTGATTCCTAGAGATCTAAGCTCTGACTTAATCTTTAGAAGAGTGAACATCTTACATCGATAAAATATTCGCTTTAAATTCTTACTTCGATAAACGAAGGAAGAATCCCCAAAACCTTCACGATTCAATCAGGATCTTGTGAATCGGTGGTCCACGAGCTAACACACTCCCGGCACAGGCGAAGTCCCCACAAAAGCAGAAATCGATAAACAATTTTTGTGTTATTTTCTAGAAGGTTGTAATTTTCTTATTTTCATTGTAATTCATTATAAGCGACCAAAGTTTTAATGGATTCCGCAACGAAACCGACTTTCGATGAAAACAAGTTGATGTGCTATATTTTAAAACTTTTTTAAGTTTAGCAACTCTGTGTTTATGAAACGCTATGCTTAAAGCAATATTTGGCATACTCTGGTGCAAGGATCCCAAGACCAAACTATTTCTAGGAACAGCAGTACAGTACTCTGGTGTGCACCGACCCAGTACTGTTAAGATCTCCTCGATCTATAAGACCTTTCGATCAAGGCAAATATCTCCTTGATCTATTAAAACCTTTCGGTGTAATAATCTTTTGGTTTAGGCAAAGATCTCCTCGATCTGTTAAAACCTTTTGGTTCAATAACCTTTTGGTTCAGACAAAAATCTTTCGATCTGTAAAAAACATTTTGGTTCAAAGCTATGTTCCTTCGGGTACAGACTAAATCTTTCACGCTTTCAAACTCTGCAGTAGCAGCACAACAATACAAAACACATGTGTCTTTTTGTATCTCTTTTTTTATCTCTTATCTCCAATAGCTCCCCGAGAGGCACTATATATAGGCCTCTAAGACCAGATCAAAGGTCACCCACATTTAATTTTGACCGTTACAAACATAATAGCAATTATGACAATTATATTTGTAACGGCAAATAACATAAATGTTGTAATTGAGGCATGCAGTAACGTCTGAATGCGAGGGTCGCGTCCAGCCTCACGCGAACTCAAGGGTCATGTTCCCTCTTGTGAACGCGAGGGTCGCACCCTCATGCAAACGCGAGGTTCGTCTGCATGTTGCGAAGGAGTCCTGCGTGGCAGCCAACGTGGCGTTAAAGACCGCCACCTAGCCCCGATGCCTTCGTTTGAAGTGCAAAATACGTCTAACAAAGCGCCACTTAGCGCCTCAGCCCCATTAGCTCCGATCCCCAGCCCATTAGCTCACAAGCTCACGAGCCCCCGAGGAATTAATTAAATAAAAACAATTCTTGACTTGTCGTTGGCCAGCCTTGAACACAAGACCTTTGAGATATCAAAACTTTAACTTTCCGTTACGCTACTAAAGATTTCTGAAAAATACCAGTAGTTAATAAATACATAGTTTGAAAACTCATTTTTAAAAAACGGTTTTGACCAAACATATCCAACACTTTCAGCTCGAGAGCTTATCATTTTGGATTAAATAATAGACCAAACATGTAGAAGGGTAATGTAAAGTCATGTAAGGGTGAAAGATGAGCTAAAGCTTTTGATTTGCGATAAAAAAAAGTGTGTTTTCTTGGTTAAGACCCTGTTTTCTCTAAAAATAAAAAGGTGCAATTAGACACCAAGAATTTTGTATCTTATCCATAAAATGGAGAAATGTCTGATCTCCCCTGGCTTTATCCGGTTCCTGGAGAAGAGTAATGTTTTCACTTGGTGTATACGGAACAAATGAAAGTTTCTTTTTTCTTTTTCTTTTTCCCTTTTTTTTTGGGGGGTGGGGGGGGGGTGGAGTGGGGAAGAGAAAAAAAAAGAAACTTTCTGAAAAAAACATATTTATCAAAAAATTGAATCCCCCCCACCCCCCCCCCCCCCTCATATTTCTCACAAGGAGAGAACAGAGCAAATTAGTAAATGTTTTTTAGATTGTAACATTGTGTCTTGTATTGTAATCTTTAGATTGTAATTTTTCCCAAGGGAAATGTCTTATGTTTTCTTTTGTTGAGTTAAGTAGTAAATATTTTCTGGATTTTAACGTTAAGATTGAGTGTTTGATTTTAGAATGTAACGTTGTGCCTTATATCTCTATAGCTAAGTGATATGTCACAAATTTTGCTGAAGTCGTTTTCCTTGACATATGAGATGCTAGAAGAATTCCGTGAGATTATATTAGATGACATTAGGCTAGAAAAGCTCCATGAGATCATACAAGACGACATTAGAGACGTCGAGTTCTCGATTTCCTTATGTTAAAAAAAAACCATTTCAAAAGCTTCAGTTGATATATAGAATTTTACATGATATGCTACACTTTAGGTAGGCACTATAAAAACAGATTACAATCTACATCATAAATAATGGTGTACAATGTACAGATTGTACATTATTCGTTATATTGGATATCTTTTTTCTACATTGGAGATCTAAATGGTTCATGCTTAAACGTGAATGCAATCAATTTTATTAAATTTAAAAAAAAAATCTAATTTGTTGCCAAAGTTGTATCAAATATTTATAGTGAGTAGATTTGAGAGGCTGGCCCTGGTCATCTTGTTGCTTGTCTGTCCACGGTCGACTGTACATTGTAAGAAAACACACTACATAGAATTTTCACAAAATGTTTATCAAAATATAGCAATTTATCACTGTATATTGTAAGGAAATATACTATATGGAATTTTCACAAATTATTTCCTTAAGCTCCCTATAAATAATGCACAGGGTTTAGTTTGCTTCCGCACTCTATTTTCCTTAAAGTGAGATATATATATATATAACAAAGAGAGATGGCTCCTGGGTTTTTTTCACGTTGCAAAGTCTTATTCTTCATTGCTCTTGCTCTAATATGTATGAATTCCATGGTTGTTTCAGGTATCTCTTCTAAACTTTCTCATACAATTTTATGAATTTCCATTGTGTGAAACCCTCTTTGACCAAATAATTGTCCATGGACTTTCCTTTGGAAAATGATTTTTTCAAAAATAATTATTCTCAATGTCTTTGTTGTCGCGTGATGGCAAGAACCCTTTATTCATGATAACGTTGACTATCTTTGTTTTTTTGGATAATGAGATACTTCGTCAAGAAAATTATTTTTATTTGTTTAAGAACTCATAGACACTCATTTTTTATCTTTAAACATTTTGTTAAACTTTATTAGTATGAAAAACAGAAGATCGATAAACTATTCTCAACAAAGAAGAAAAAAAATCGGATGATAGGATGCATAAAATACTAATGAACTAAAAATGGGTTGGATGAAATGTACAGGAGGGAGGTCAGTGATAATGGAGACGAGGAGATGGATGGAGGAAGCAATAGACTACGCTGATCCTCACCCAAACCCCGGTCATGACCCCAAATTTCCCCCTCCTGCACTCTAAGACTCCATCATGATTGTAATGTGCTTTGAACTCTCAAATGCAGAGATCATCTTATTTAGGCTACAAATAAGAAGCTCACTTTTATTTACTGTATGTGCTAATATGTTTTCTTTGATAATATATGTGCTTTTTTGCTGATACCATTAAGCTTATACATGAAATAATGATTATGATGAATAACTAAGATAGGGACCACATAATTCTCGTCATCTCTCCCTGTAGAATAAGGTTACGTGCACAATTTCATCCATTGCAATAGTGAGCTCATGAAGATTTTACATGGGGTAATTTTCTATACCGAATGGCCGAAAAAGATTGTTCAAAAGACTTGGATAATAGACCGAACCTGCTAGAGAACTTACTCTTCTTTTGAAATCAGCTATCAGCTAGAGAACTTACTCTTCTGGGTTGATAACAGACCGCACCTGCAGAAGGGTAACATAATATTCCATAAGGGCGAAAAATGAGAGAAAGCTTTCAGTTTACGATTAAAAAAAAGTGTGTCTTTTAAGACCGTGTTTTCTCTGAAAATAAAGAGGTGCAATCAGATACCAAGAAATTAATACCTTATCTGTAAACTGGAGAATTGTCTGGTCTCCCATGGCTTTATCCAGTTCCTGAAGAAGAGTAATGCTTTAACTCGGTGTACATGGAATAAATGAGAGTGAAAAATAAAAATGTTTCTGCTAAAAAAAAATATTTATCAGGAAACTGGTACTAGTGAATTATTACATTTTCTGGGTCTTGGGAGCTGTCCACTTTCTGTATCATTTCCTGTAGGTTGACATCTGCTAAGAAACTTCTGATCTCACTTGACTTCACTGTTTGCAGGGAAAAAATTAAAAAAGTATTAATATTGTTCACTTGAGTCTAAGACAAAAGAGATTCAAGATAAATGCCATTTGCCAAAAACAATGAGAAGAGTTTCTTTTTTACAACAGGATTAAGGAATGCAAAGTTGTTAAAATAGTACAACTAAAAGGCGGTCGAGAGAAATCAGTATCGACTGTTCAATTGAAATCAATATGAATCATCAAGTTGAGATAGAAACTAAACGGGTTTCAGAAAGAATTTGATCTCCTAAAAGAGTATCGATAAATCATCAGATAGTTCAAAGTGTGCCAACATTTAGATGTTTTAATTTCCTTTTGAAATCGGCTATAAATTATGGATATAGCAACAAAAAGGGAAGTAAAAACTACAATCATTATACTCTGTTGACAGTAATCAACATGATGCAAATATGTATATTTACGTATAACAGTGGAGTAAGTACCTATGGATTCTAGTTGTTCTTTGCTGAGAACACAACTTGGATCGTCTATTTCCTGCAACCTTTCTGCACAAACTATAACTACTGTGAACGTTAGATAACAGAAAGTTGCCGATATCATATGCAGAATACATTAAACTCTTCCATAAGCATATAATATGTAAGATAAGTTGTAAATGAATTTTTACCATCAGTTATATCTTTTAAGGTGTCAGAGTGCTTAGGTGGTTCTTCTGAAGGAGGCACAGGCTTTTCACAAGGGATATCTGCATCAACAAGTGAAGAAATATTCAAGCATGGAAGAATATGGAAAATGAATTTTATTGGAAAACATTAAGAGATATTTATTGCACTGAATTTGGAGTAGTAGAATGGAAGAATTCCACTATAACAAGTGATATATGAACATGTTTTAAAAAGTTATAGTTCTAGTAACCTATCAATCTTTGCATCAGTTCGAAATTTATTTCACTCTTGAAGGAATATATGTTTGTGCATAAAAATGTTCCAGCGTCACGTTGCACGCATACCTATAAATGGATGTATAGAATCATAGTTATGCTAAAGGTTATATTCCTTACGGTACCGTTTGACAAAGGGTTAAGTGAGGGGTTAAGGAGACTTAACCCCTTCTTAACCTGCCAAACAGAACAAATCTATATAAGGGTTAAATTGAGTTAACCCTCCATAATTTGCCAAACATAAAAAATATAGAAGGGTTAAGTTAACCCCTCTAGAGGAATTGAGTTAACCCTCCATAATTTGCCAAACATAAAAAATATAGAAGGGTTAAGTTAACCCCTCTAGAGAGGCTAAAATGAGTTAACCCCTCAAAATGAGGGGTTTACTAATACTCCTATTTAGATGGAATAAGAGTTAACCCTTCTAATTATAAAGAAAATAGTCAAAATCATTGTTATTCCCAAACACTAAAACTGATCATAAGGGCTAAAATAAAACTTATTTAACGGGTTAATAATTTAGTCCTTCGGATTATCAAATGGGCTAAGTACATTAATCCTACTCTTTAACCCCTCTTCATTAACCCTTTGCCAAACGGGGCCGCATATGGTTATGTTGGTCTTAAAAAGTTACTTGCTAAAGAAAGCATTATTATCAACCAAATGCAACTAGCAATTATATGCTCGTGATAGGCAAACTAAGCAGGAGGATTCAGCTTAACATTTACCTCATCTATGCGAAAAAACCTGTTTTCATAGTTTTACTTAGTCCACAATGATCCCTTACATATACCAAGTTAATAATAAGTGATGCACTAGTAAACTAAAGTTCATATCCTAAAAGCACCAGGACTACAAATTAATGAGTTAGGGATCAATAAGTTCATTGTTCATATATATCGAAAATATGAAAAACCTTAAATCATAATCTTTGATGCACCAAGAACTTCAATAACCTGATCACAAATCGAAACCAAAGACATAACAATAGCATGATTTGCTTGAGGGGTACCTTTGTGCTTCTTAAAGCACACCATGGAACAACTGCACATTGGAGGACGAAAAAAACAAACAAACATGAAACTGTATTATTAAAAATGACAAAAAAAACCCTTTTCAAGTTAAATCAAAATGTTGTGCATTAGCATTATTCATTCAATAAAAAAGAAAATCAAGAAATGGGTTGAGTGGGAATGCTTACTAAGGGATAAAGCAAGTGGGGCACTTGTATTTGGATTGTGCCCCTTTGCATACTTCACAATTTTTAGAGCCCATTATCAACCAATTAGATAAAACCTGGTGCACAAAATTTAACGGATCAAATTTAGGGCAAAAGAGAGAAAAACTGATGATAAAGACTAAACTTTATTCAAGGACTCATATAAAACCCTGGTTTAATAACCTCAAACCTTGATGAAATCGGGATCAAAGAAAAGTTAAGAAGGAAGCCGAGGGTTTTTGTCGAGAGAGAGAGAGAGAGAGAGAGCTCGGTTGCTCGAAGCATTGAAACTGGGCCAATACCCAAAAAACTCAAGGCCCAATAACGCCCAATATAACTGAATGTTAATACACTGACAAATTTTTTTCCACTAGTTAAATAATTTGTTAGAATTAAGGAAAATTTGTGCCAAGGCCCCAGAAAATTTGTGTCAAGGCCCCAGAAAGCATGATTTATAATAAATCTAACATACGACTAGCCGACTAGCCGATTGCTCATGCAACTGCCGACTAAAAGCAACATAAAGGAAAATATGATGCCTTTTTTGTTTGTAATTCAATTTCTGTCCTATTCCAATATAAAATAACAAAAGAGTGTGGGGTCAGCTAAAACACTATCACAAAGAAAGTGTGTCAACATACTCTTTCTTCATTGATTCAATCAATAGGAAAACACTACAGGCACACCCCTAACCACACCTTGGGGCACACCCCCTCTCTTAGCTACAGTGTATGAGACCCACTTTAGATTTTTATGCACTGTAGCTGAGAGAGGAGGTGTGCCCCAAGGTGTGGTTGGGGGTGTACCTGTAGTGCCACTCATATTATTTTAATATTTACAATTTGATCATTTAACAAGTTTTGGTCTTATAAATACTAATATATTACACACAATGTACAAGATTCTTGGAGGCAATTCTTTTACACGTATCAAGATTAATATTTTACTGCATTTATTTATAAAATGAATAAATAATCAAAAGCGTTAAACTTCCACACAAGTTGAAAACTAATATAATTTTCAACCAAAATCCTAGAAAAAACTTGGGAAAATTGTGTCAATACCCCAAAAACAACATCTTCATGTGCTGCAGCCCCTTCACTTTTTTTCCATGTGGTACAACTCCAAAAAGTGACACATCATGTGCTGCAGCATTCTTTTAGTAATTATTACTCGCCAACTAAGCATAGAGAGGATAAAAAGTACAAAACACCAAAATGTCATTATCTACTCTATTCTTTCATGTTAGGTCTATTTAGAATTCATGTTAGGTCTAATTTCATGTTAGGTCTATTTAGAATTCATGTTAGGTCTAATTTTAGTTCATATTAAGTCTAATAATAGTTCATGTTAAGTCTAATTTTCAGTCCATGTCATGTCTAATAATAGTTCATGTTAAGTCTAATTTCATGTTAGGTCTAATTTACTTCATATTAAATTCTTTTTAAGTCTAATTTACTTCATGTTAGGTCTATTTAGATTTCATGCTAGATCTAATTTCATGTTAGGTCTATTTAGAGTTCATGTTAGGTCTATTTAAGAAAATAGAACTAAAATTAAATACAAATAGACTAACATGAACTCCAATTAGAAATAACACGAACTGTAATTAAAACTAACACAAACTCTTATTAGACCTAACATGAACTGAAATTAGACCTAACACGAATTCTTATTAGAACTAACATAAAACTGCAAATAGAACTAACACGAACGGTAATTAGACCTAACACGAACTGGAGTTAGAACTAACTTGAATTGCATATTAGACCTAACACGGAACTATTATTAGAACTAACATGAACTCCAATTATACCTAACATGAACTGAACATAGAACTAACATGAACTCCAATTAGAACTAACACGAATTGGAGCTAGACCAAACATGAACTGCATATTAGACCTAACACGAAACTGTTATTAGAACTAACATGAACTACAATTAGACCTAACATGAGTTCTTATTAGATCTAACATGAAACTATTATTAGACCTAACATAAACTGAAATTAGACCTAACACGAACTCTTATTAGAACTAACGTAAAACTGCAATTAGAACTAACACGAACTGCAATTAGAACTAACACGAACTGGAGTTAGAACTAGCACGAACTGCAATTAGAACTAACACGAATTGAAGTTAGCCCTAACATGAATTGCATATTAGACCTAACATAAACTGTAAGTAGACCTAACACGAACTGCAACTTAGACCTAACACAAACTGTTATTAGACCTAATATGAATTGGAGTTAGACCTAACATGAACTGCATATTAGACCTAACACAAACTGTTATTAGAACTAACATGAAGTGCAAATAGAATTAAAATAAAATGCAAATAGGACTAATATGAACTCCAATTAGAAATAACACGAACTACAATTAAAACTAACACGAACTGGAGTTAGACTTAACATAAAATGAAATTAGACCTAACATAAACTCTAAATAGACCTAACATGAAATTAGACCTAACATGAAGTAAATTAAACTTAAAAGAAATTTAATATGAAATAAATTAGACCTAACATGAAATTAGACTTAACATGAACTATTATTAGACATGACATGGACTAAAATTAGGCTTAACATGAACTATTATTAGACTTTAAAAAATTAGGCTAAAATTAGGCTTGACACAATTTCCCCGAAAAACTTAAAAAAATAAAGAGAAAATTTTAGATTTGGCCGAATTAACTCGCCTAAGATCAAAATTCCGAATCTAAAGTCCAAACTATCTCGTCTAAGATGAGATTCCGTGCTTCTGATCAGAAGAGAAATCTAGGGTTCATAAAAAGGAATTTAAATTGTAGAAGAAGATAAAATATCAAATAGATTAGGAGATGGGTTATTGAAAAGTATAGAAAATAAAACTTTATAGTACCCCCCGGTAGGGGTGTCCAAAAAGCCCCGGGCCCGGGCCCGGCCCGGTGTCCGGCCCGGGCCCGGCCCTCGGACACCGAAACCCGGGCGCAAACAACCCCGGTCCGGCCCGGGCCGGTCGCCCGTGCTTGAATCCCTGTCCGGCGCTCGCCCGGCCCGAACAGGCCAAAAGCACTGTTCTCAGAAGCCGCCCGCCATTAGACACTGTCACAAGCGTGACCGTGCCAGCGCGGGCCCGTCCAGCCCGGCCCGGCCGAACGTCACGGAAGTACGTTTGCCGGCCGCCAGCCCGGCCTCGCCAGCCGCCCGGTCTCGAACGTTCACCTTCGTGACGCCTGGCACCAAATCTTGCTAGGACGGCCGCATCTGCCTTTTGAACCGTTTTGCCCCTTAAAACGGTCAAAAACCCTGCTATTTTCGAAGGGTTTTTTGCGT